TCTTGTTAAATATTATAGAAAATGGAATGGAAAAAACACATGGTAAAATATTGTTTTATCTCTTAACAACAGCAAGGATGACAAAATGAGTGGTCATTAAGATTATTCAACTCATTGGAAGTGGACAAATTTACGAGGATACTATAAAAAACAAAAAATGAACAAATTAACAGAAGATTGGAACAATGTGATGGATTGCATTTAAAAAGAATGGAAGATTGGAAAATCTACAAGGGATATAATACTTGATGCCTATAGGAAGTTATATTAATAGGAATGTTAAGGTAATATTGGTAAAAACACCCTTTCCGAAAAAAAAATAAGATTTAAATTAAAAATATTAATATTCTGACAACTGATAGGACTAAATTATTTGCTCTTGTTTTTTTAAAAAATATTTACTCTTTATTGTTTTTCTTTTTCTTTTTGTATGTTTTTAGAAATTAAGAGCATGGATTAAAAGGTATAAAGAACTAATAAAATCTTTAACTAAATAAATAATTAAGAGAAGCACAGAATGTGGGGGATAAAATAAGAAAACAAAGACACAGCAAAAGAGCATAAATTTAGGAAGTGTTTTTAAAGTTTGATTGTTGTGTAATGTCAGGAATGTCAGGATTGGTGCATGGTTAGCTTGGATGAAATTAAGTACAAGTTTTGTTGTTTTGTTTGTATAACATTTGTACAGTTTGTCAATGTATTTGTATTTATACTTGTGCATTTGTATTGGTTGTTGTTGTCCTCTCTCTCTCTCTCTCTTTCTAAAATAAGAAAATGTAATTTCTAATAAAGTAATAATGAAAATATATAGTGGTTTTTATTGCAGTTTTCCCACTTTCACAGGGGTTCTGCATCCCTAACCCCAGTGAATGTGGAGGGTCCACTGTATAATTTAAAATAATCCCAGATAAGAACCATAAAATAATTTAAATAGGATAAAAGCATGTTAAAAAGAGCTAAAGAGCAGAAAAGGCTAAAGCAGATAAAACCATGTACGTGTGCACTTAAAAAAAAGAAGAAGAAGATCAGGCCTCAAAGACTTTAATAAAAAGCCATGTTTTAACTCGGCCCCTAAAAGAAACCAATGTTGGCACCAACTAGGCTTCCAAGGGGAAGGCATTCCATAAACAGAGTGCCACAATGGAGAAGGCTGTCTTGGATTTGCCCACAGATATACTGGTCCCACTGGTGGGACAGAGAGGAGCGGCAAACAGGGTGCTGAACCTCATCTCAAAAGTTTGAAAAAAGTTTGAAAGGTGTTATCCAAGGTGCTGAAGACCTGTCCTCCCCAAAGAGGTTCAGTACCACGGATAGCTCCTGCAAAGTGATTCAAGCTGTCTAGCAAATTCACTTCCCCACCAATATGGTTGCCACGCATCACCACTATGCTAGCTTGTTTCATTTTCCATGCCTCTGTCCGATAGGGATTATGGCTTCTTGCATCTGTACTGGCAGCACCTCCTACCGCTTGCGTATAGGCTCCATAGGCTCCAAACTGGATCGTCATGGGATTAAAGATCCCCAGTTGTCCTGCCATCTGATGCATTCGCCGCAGGGTCCTCTCCTTGTCTGTATCGGCAAACTTGACAACCAGGCTGGAGGATGCTCCCTAGCAAAGGGGGAGAGAAAGACAAGAGGCAGAAACAGAGAGAGTGGGGCAGAGTGTACCCATTGATTCGGCATGTGGCAGCGATGGCAGCATGGACTACAGATACCCTCAGCAAGACCATCCAGTAACAATGATAGGAATCATAATGGAGATAAGACACTGACGCCCCACCAGGACCTTCTCAATGGTAGCCCCATTGTTGCAGAACCCACTTTCTTTTGGAAGGGGCTCATGGAGGTGCATTTGTTTCAGTTGTCTCTCTTTGGTGTGGGTTTCGTTCACTGGCTCCTGGAGCTCTCTGCTTCTTTAGTGTGCTATATTCTGAATATACGATACTGTTTTGATGGTTCAAATTACAGAGCTTGTAAGTAATAATTTACAATTAATATCATAACACACAAACCTTTTTAAAAGGAGAGCACAGTGAAAGTATATGTCAAAAATGGGAATGGTGAGGGTGTAATACAGTACTAGGCAACCAGACAGGGTCTAGGAGGTTGCCTATACCCCATTTCCAAACTCCCCAAGTTTCTATGGGTTGTCCTTAGTGTTTTAGGTAGATCTGGTTTGGGGTGTGTGTGAAACCACTGTTTTACCACCACCCCATGAGCTCCCTCAAACAGTCATCAAATGGATAATCACACCACTTTGTGGGGATTTTTTTTAATTCTCAGTATTTGGGCCAATATATTTTAGTAAAAAGAGGTTTAGGTTCTCGGGGCTTCACTGGAAGCCTTGGGAAGTTGCATGTGCATGTGGACTGCACAATTCCTACCCCAGTGTAACAATCCTATTGCTAGTCCTAAAGTACATCTATTTTTATTCTGTTGTTAGTCCTACAGTACATCCATTGACACGGTGGGATTGATTTATGTATTTACTCACCATAGTCCCACTGAACCAATGGGATTTACTTATGTTTGCTCACCATAAATCCACCAAATCAATGGGGTTTACCTATGTGTTGACTTACCATAGGCATAGACCCACTGAATCAAGGGGTTTACTTATATGCTTACTCATCACAGACCTATTGAAACCATGCCCTATGAGGAGCGACTTAGGGAGCTGGGTATGTTTAGCCTGGAGAAGAGACGGTTAAGAGGGGATATGATAGCCACATTGAGGATGGAGCAAGTTTGTTTTCTGATGCTCCAGGGAATAGGGCCCAGAGCAATGGATTCAAACTATAGGAAAAGAGATTCCACCTAAAGATTAGGAAGAACATCCTGACAGTAAGAGCTGTTTGACAGTGGTATACACTCCCTCGAAGGTGGTGGAGTCTCTTTCTTTGGAGGACTTTAAACAGAGGCTGGATGACCATCTGTTGGGGATGCTTTGATTCTGTATTCCTGCATGGCAGGGGGTTGGACTGGATGGTTCTTGGGGTCTCTTCCAACTCTATGATTCTATGAATCAATGAAGGCTTGTGTTAGCCAGAGCTTCTGGGAATGGAGAAGTCCAAAGCAGCTGGAGAACCAAAGGCTGAGAATCATTGCCCTCATGGGTAAAGCCAGCCCTGGAGAGAGGGCCCTTGGAGACAGGACCTCCAAAAGTGTATTTCTTTAATCCCAGTCATTTTAGATTGACCTGGGGAGATTGAAGAAAGTAGGACCTAGCCTTTGCTCCTCTCTTTAGCCCATCTCTTTGATTTCAATAGAGTGAGATAATTGTGTTTAGCACATATTCTCCCTCCGCCTTCTGGCACTGCAGTTCTGGCCAGTCAAACCAGATCAGAGGTCACTGAAGACCCAGTCTCCCTGCTGGGATCAATCTTTGATCAAAGCAGTCCTCTTTCATAATCACCAGTGGGTTCCTGGGGCTCTTTCCTCTGTTTCCGTCCATCTCATTTAAAACTGTGACCTTCATTGTTAATTAAATGGCAGCTTTCTCAAGGTGGTGATTGAATTACCTCCTAACACCTGCCTAGAGAGCATCGCTGGCTGATCAGAATAAACGATGGGCCCTGTGTTATTTTTACAACAAGTGATTTGATCCCTGAGATTCTGATCCAATCAAGGGGAGGATAAATTAGCTGGTGATGGGATTAAGAGGAGGGGAAAAAACAACACAATAATGCTACTTTGTGGGGGGTAGGAACTTGCACAGTAGAGCAGCTCGTTTCTATATAGCTGTTAGTGCTTCTTGAGATTCTTTTTGCAGGTGGTCTTTGAAAGGAGGGAGGGAAGGAGAAAAGGAAGGAAGGAAGGAAGGAAAAGAGACAAAGACAAACCAAGGGAGGGAGGGGAGATGTTTTCTAGCGGCACTTGACAGCTCCCATGTCCCACTTATAGATCTTGTCCAAGGTGATGACTCTATTATGACAATATGGTTCAGGACCCTGAATAAAAAGGTCCTTTAAGGTTCGGATTGAAAACCAGAGCAGGCTCACTGCCCCACTGATACGGAAGCCACCAGATACCATGAGTGTTTTATAAGATGGCATTGAACATCTGTTTACACTACAACTTTCGCAAAATCTAGATCTGGTTGGATTACAATGCTCATCATCCCCAGCAAGCTACACACCTGGAGATTGTTGGGAGTAAGAGTTTAGTCCTTAGATATGCTGGATTGAAATGCTCATCATCCCCAGCAAGCTACACACTTGGAGATTGTTGGGAGTAAGAGTTTATTCCTTCCTCAGGGCCAGGTGAGCTGAGATGTGGGGCAGGGAAGAAGCTGGTTTGCACGATCAGTTATCCTCAATGAATACATTTCTGATTTTATTCAAGGGACGCATTAGAAATGAAAACAAGAGCTAATAGTAGGTGATTCCACTCTGAGGTTTATTCCAGATTTTAGAGCAGGTATGCAAGGTACTGAACGCTATCATCAGAATAGGTTCAACTCACATGGAAACCCCCAGCTACACCTGGTGACATGCTTTCTGGAAGCTTTCTCCAAAATGCTACCCTGGAGATAGGTTGGACTACAATTCCCATCCCCAGCCTACATGGCCAACAAGGATGTTGAGCATTATAGCCTAACTCATCTGAGGGAGGGCAGGATGTGACAAACTTCTTCCTCATAAGAGATATGGAAGGAGGGAACAGCTGTAGTTTAGGAAGACAAGAAGAGCCCTGCTGGATCATACAGGCAGCCCATCTAATCCAGTATCCTGGTCCCACAGTGACAAACCAGTGGATAGCCTACAAGAAAACCATGAGTAGAGCTGCACCCTTTGTTTCACACTCCCCAGCAACTGATATACTGCCTCTGACCCAGGAGATGATATTTAACCATCTTCAAGAGTAGCCATTGAAGAACTTAACCTCTATGAATCTATCCATTCTTCCTTAAAAAACCAACAACATCCAAGCTGGCAGCCATCTCTACATCTTATGGCAGCGAATCCCAAAATTTAACACTGCAGAGTGTGAAGAAGAGAGCCAGTGTGGTGTAGTGGTTTGAGTGCTGGTCTACGACTCTGGAGATCAAGGTTCGAATCCCTGCTCAGCCATAGAAACCCACTTTGGTAAGTCATACTCTCTAAGCTTCAGAGGAAGGCACGGTCAAACCCTCATTGAACAAATCTTGCCAAGAAAACCCCAATGACACGGTTGCCTTAGGGTCACCATAGGTCAGTAATGACTTGAAGGCACAAAGCAACAAGAGTGTAGAAATATATCACCTTACGAATGTGATGTATACATGAGAGCAAAGATATTGATGCCTTCATCTAATGTCTCTGCCCACACAGATGGTGGTCCTAAAGCCATTGGCCATGTTGATTCAGGCTACTGCCTGGCACTTACCGGCATCGTCTGACTGCCGTGGAGGCTACTGATAGCTGCTTGGGCCTCTGCATGGCTTCCATATTTGACAAAGGCACATCCTATGGGGAGAGAAGGTTGCAGTGGTCAAGGCAGAGTCATGTAGGTCCAGAGCTTGAAAAAAAAATCCTTTTTGGACTATCTAGAATCCCACAGCCAACATGAACAAGCCGTTAGGAGGATTTTGGCAGTCACATGTAAAAAAGGATCATCTTCTTTTTTAAACTTCTTAATTGAAACGTCTTAATTTTTATAATAATAGAAGCCAACATACATTGCATTAGGCTCAAGTCTATGAAAGCTCATGCTACCACCTTTTTTCTTTCAGTTAGTTCCTTTACAGACTGCCAGAAATAGTGCAACTTGAGGCCAGTTTAACTGTCCTGATTCAGTGCTAGGGAATCATGGGAACTGTCATTTATTGTGGCACCAGAGCTCTCTGACAGAGAAGGCTCAATATCCCAGAAAAAAATACAATTCCCATGATTCCCTAGCACTGAGTCAGGGCAGTTAAAGTGGCTTCAAGTTGCGCTATTTCTGGCAGTCTGTAAAGGCCCTTAGTCTCTCAAAGGTGCTACAAGATGGGTTTGCATACTGCTTTTCCAGACTAATATGGCTATGTCTTTGAATACTTTGCATTGTGAGTGAAAGCAAGAAAAAAGAGTCATTGTGTTATTCATACATTAAGTTATACAAAGAGAAGTGTGTGTGTTTGTGTGTGTGTGTATGCAAATTCTTATTCTTTTTATATTCTCTTTTGGATTGATCCGTAAATCTTCACATTTACTCAATGGCCATAAGATTTGTTTTTGTTTTTTTTAAGATTCAGATGGGATCAGAAAATTATTATTTGTTGGATTTGAATCCAGGATGTTTTAACATTTGCCAGTGTTTTTTAAAATCTGATTCCAGGTTTGTTGCTTTTTATGTTTAAAAAAGCCCTGTGTAGGCCAACAACCAAGGCTGCATCCACACTGCAGAAATAATCCAGTTTGACATCACTGCAACTGTCATGGAATGCCAGGAATTATAGTTTGTTGCAACACCAGAGCTCTCTGACAGAGAAGGTGAAATGTCTCACAAAACTATAAGTTCCTAGCATTCTATAGCACTGAGTCAGCAGTTATAGCGGTGTCAAAGTGGATTATTTCTGCAGTGTGGATGCAGCTTAAGAGGGGATGGTGGATCAACATCTTTGAATTGTCAGCCAAAGTGGGATGATACTGGAGGCCATTTGGACCCAGGATAATCACAGCTCTTTTCTGTCCACACTTGTTGGTGTGGCAATTCATGCTCCTTATCATGAACTGTACCATTTTGCAATTATTTTGGCATAAAGAGAACTGACGTCGAAACAGCAAAATCCAAGTGCAAACAGTGTCCATTATCAATGGAACATACACATGTTTAGACAGCTGGAATCAATGCTATGAAAACCACAGAAGCCAATCTTTTCCCAATGGCTGCATCTGTGTGAATTGTGGGGATGCAGAGGCAGACATTCCCCATTAACAACTCTGGCCATATGTTTTGCCAGTGTCAGCACAATATTACATGGCTTTACTTGCAAGTTAGCCCCACTGGATTCGGTGGGTCTTCCTTCCAGGCAAATGACACAGGAGTATAGCCTTAAATGTGATGCCTGTTCTTGTTTTTGCTCTTCCTAGGTTGCAAGTCTGAAGAGTGATGGGCTCTGAGCCACTTGTCCTGGATGGACAACAGCACCCAGAAGCACTGGTGGCTTCCATGTCAGTAGGGAAATGAATCCATTCCAGGAGTTGAACTTTGAAAGAGCTGTCCAAGATTGCGAGGTGCTGAACTTTCTGCTCAAAGCAGGCTCAGCATCTTAAGTTTAGCATCTTTAACATGCAGACTATATCATAGAGCGGAGTCATGGCACTACTGTCCTGGAAACAACTGGCCACAGCTGTGCAGAAGACAATGGAAGAGCAGCATGAGAAAGATGGAGGGAAACAGACTGCTAGTGTGGGAAACAAAATTGGAAGAGAGGTCTCCCAGAACTCCTGTGAAAGATATTAGCTGGCACAGATATGCCCGCAAGGCAGCCAGTTTGGGAGGGCATGCTTGGCACAAACCATTTTACTGCCTGGGGCATAGCACAAGATGCTGCTTTGTCCTATTCTGCATAGGCATTGGTATCTCATGTCAACATTGGTGATGAGCTGACATCTTCCACCACATCCAGAATTTGGAATTTTTACTTTTCTTGGACTACAGTTCCCAGAATTCCTCAGCCAGCATGGCCAGTGTCGCTATCCTGGGAGCTACAATATTTTTAAAAAGGTGATAACTGCGATCCTACTTGCAAAGTGGAAATCTTTGCATGTAGAGTTAAGCGATGAATGTGCTACACTGAATGTGTGTTCAGTGGTGATAACATGTGAGCGAATGAATGGACACCTCAACACACTACTGAATCTGAATGCACAATCAGATGCACATCGACAGGCCCAACACCGTGTGTGCAACTGTGTTTCTGCAACCTTGAAAGGAATGCAGGTTTTCCATATCAGACAACACTTTCCAGCCCTTTCCACAAGGGAACTCATGCATGCATGAGGTCCAAATGGATTCCAGCCATCATTTCCAAGTTCAGCTTCCACTGAACCTGAGGGCAGCAGGGCAGTGTAGTGTGTGAATGGAAAGCCATGCAATTCTGCTCTCCAGCACTTTTTTGGCACCTGAGCATCTCTGCACCTGGCCTCAAGGTAGATCTACCTAGACCAGCCCAACTTCCATGATTCCCTTCTAGCAAAGCAACTGTCCTCCTCACCTTTGCTGGCTCCATCAGGCCCTCTGAGGATGGTGCATTCTTCGATCTGGCCGAAAGGCTCAAAGAGTCGCCGGACGTCGTCCTCGCTCTGCTGTTTCCCCAGCATGCCCACAAAGAGCTTCCTGTCTTCTAAAAACAAGCCACCCTTCATTAGCAGAAGTGGAGTAAAGGGACACCAAAAGCAAACAGAGGACAATAGGAACCTTGGTTGAGATGGCCAGGCCAAGACAACATAGGATGACTACATAACAGACCCAACGGGTTAGGGATATAAATCCTTTATTATTTTGTCCTCACGTGCAAGGATGAATAATTACTGTAATTTCCTCTATGCTCTTGGAGGAAACCATTTTTTAAAAACACATTTGCATGTTCTGGAGGATTTTTCTGCACAGACTTGTATTTTTTTTCTCTGTCCAAAAGCCACATTTCTCTGCACTGAAAATCTAGAATGCAGTGAGACATTCAAATATTTAATAATAATAATAATAATAATAATAATAATTTATACCCCACCCCTCTGTTAAAACAATCGGGGCGGCTTACAACAATTAAAATTACAGCAAATACAAACCAAACCCCAGGACACTACCCTCTCCCCATTAAAAAAGTATTAAACATAAAATATTTGCGGGAAATTGTAAGACACTGTCTTCTGCACAGCTGAAACACAGTTGAAACACTGCTTTCTGTTCGGGAAGTTCTGTTTTCTGCACAGAAAACACCACATTATTTGCGTAGAAAATGGTTTTTTTTGTGCAAAAAATTAATAATCACATTTCTCTGTGCAGAAAAATCTTCTAAGGCAATTTGAGACATTCAAATATTGAGAGAAAACTGTGGCAAAGTCTTGCTGTTCTATTATTCTTTGCAATAGATTTTCCTGACTGTCAGAAAATCCCTGAATGGTCAGGGATTCTGGGAACTGAACGTATTTTCTGAGAATTGGAGTCTTAAAACAGCTGAAGACCTAAACTGATGAACTGTTGAGTCAGAGAATTAGATTATGCCTGGGAAGACCTGGGTTCAAATCCTTATTCAGCCATGAAGCTTACTGGGTGACCTAGGGCCTGGTTACAATCTTTTGTAAATGCAGGTTTTTTAAAAGCTCAGTCTAACAGTTTCTTAGTCTGAAAGGTGCAACAAGATCCCTGTGCATGCTGATTTTCCAGACTAATACAACTGCGCCTTTGAATTCTGTCCACTATTTTTTTTCCCCAATTGTTCCAATTTTTACACCTTGCACCTCATTTTGCATTGGGAGAATCACAGCCTGCTAAGTTTCATGGATAAAAACTGGGACATGAGTGGCCAAGCAACATCAGACAGGGGCCAAGATGGCAAAATGTATTAATGGGGAAGAATACACAAATTTGAAGAGGCAGCAGCAGTTTGCTTTTGCCTCATCCTACTGGCAAGGGCAAGATTTGGCTCTCTCCTCTCTGTTTTCCTCCACTACGTTAATGGAATGCAAACTCCTTTTGTGCTTTGAACTCAGTTTGTAGCAACTGAATTAAGCTGAGGAGGAAAGAGGGAAAGTGGGAGGAAGAGATTAAAAACCGGGGCATTTTAAAAGCAGATGAAAACATGGGATGACAGAAAATTAATTGGAAATAAGTTGGAGGGTTTGGAGAAGGGCAGGATGTAAATAAACAAACAAGCACATATGAAATGTATAAAAATTTTCAACATCTGGGGAAACATTATTATTTTTTAAGAAAGGGAACTTCCTAAATAGCTCAATGAAGAGTCAAAATGCTCATCGGCTACAGAACACTACATATCTCTTGGGATTGGGAGAGAAATGGAAAAATATAAGGAGGGAGGATGAAATGAAGCATCTTGGAAAATGGCACAGATGGATGGCTGTTTGTCCGGATTTTGGAAACACGA